GGGTTTCCCTCCTTGAAGATTCACATTAACCAGGGGTATTTGAAGCCTTGGTCGGCCCCCCCCCCCCCCCCCCCACGCTACCAACATATCGGTGGATCATGTTGCGAACGAAAGGCGACAATTAACTGTGAGACGCTACCAGAATACACACACAGGGTAACAGTTCACAGAAGCTATGCCCTCACCTCCCCTCGGGGCGTCTGTAACCTCCACCCCTTTCTCCTTCTCCTTCTCCTTGTCTCTCTCTCCCTCCATTGCACCTACCGCCTTCCTCAGCCACCTGCCGGACATGACGGTCATCACGCCGGTCTTCATGGAAGGCCAGGGGGACGGCACGGGACCGGCGTTCTTCGTTGCATCCAGGGGTCACCACGCCGACGTCGGCGGCATTGCCCCGGGGTCCATGCCGCCGCTCTCCAAGACCTTGGAAGAGGTATACGTACTATCTGCGAGATACGGGGCGGGGGGTGTACTCATGTAAACGCATGCCGTAGTCGTTAGACCGTTGACCTCGCATGTTTCACTAGGATAGGAAGGGGGCACCGCGGTCATAGGCACTGCTGTGGTTTCAATATTGGCGTTGGGCCGATGACCTCTGGACGGGTTATCCTCGGCACGCATTGAACTTCATGTTGACCTTTTTCCTATTACAGTAGTATATGTTCAGATTCCGGTGCCTGATCCAAATCACCAATCACCGGCAAGTAATAATTTTTTCGTGATTTGATGTCCCGGCAGGAGAGATGTTTTTTGCATGGAATTTGTCCTCAAATGCACTGGAGGCAACTTTCTTTACTGAAGCCAAGTCAGCATTTTTTTCCAGTACTACGCTATTTGTACAGTTTTACCAACAAGGGAACCCGCGGCTGGGGAGATATGTGTAGAGCAAGTCAGAGGCCGAGGAGAGGCATCGCAGGCATCACCCAGCAGTGTATCACACAATCGCACCACCTCACACAACCATGCTAGACCAAGGTTTCCCACTCGCGTTTCACGCAGCGGAGCATAGTGACGACCACGGTGCGGCAAACAGTCAAATTTGAGTGCCGTGTCCCCAAAGTGTCCCAACTTGGGCTTCCAGTACTACTCTAGAAGGGTTAAGAACCCACCAGGAATAACAATAAATCGCAGAGACCGGTGGCTAAAAACACATATATTCACTTCTTGACGTGAAAAAAATCCCCATAAATATTTCAACAGGAGGGCGCGGCGATCGTGGCCTTCAAGCTGGTGACGATGGGGGTGTTCGACGAGAAAGGCGTGTCGGACCTGCTGCACGCGCCCGGGGAGTGGGGGGACCCTGCCTGCAGCGGCACGAGAAACCTGCAGGACAACCTCAGCGATCTCAGGGCGCAGGTTGTGTGCGAATCGAATCGAATCGAATCGAATCGAATAGAATAGAATAGAATATACTAGAAGCGATGAGGATGGAAGAGGCTATGTATGTATGGGAAAGATGCCGATGGGGTGCTTCTATCGGTTCGCCCGAAAAACGAGACGTTCTCTCGGGGGGGGGGTTCTTGTTTCCGGAGGTATGTAGTGCGCCCGCCCGCATCCAAGAACGTGAAGGGAGGGGGTGGCAGAAGAAACGCGCTGTTGGCAGGGGTGTTGTTGTTGCATCGGTAGTTGTAGTTATCGTCGTTCTACCGTCTATACATGTAGAGCTGTTGCTCTGGAGCACGTGCCACTTCAATGCGGGAACAGCTCTCAGTTTTATTTTTTAACCATTTGGCTTCGAGCACGGTTTTTCTTCTGCGCCCACGATCTCCACATGCAAGCAGTACGATGAGAGCGTGCGTGCCATGCCCAAATGTTTTCGTTGCTATTGTTGCCGCCGCGCGAAATTGGAACCCAAACCAAACGCAGGTGGCAGCGAACACCCGCGGCGTGGCCCTCCTTCAAGGGCTGGTTTCCGAGTACGGCATCGACGTCGTCTCCGCATACATGGGCCACATACAGGTGCGTGTGCTCCTGTTCACGTTTCTATCAGTACTCGCATTCCTCGCCGCTTCTGGTGCTTGCTGCTGGTTCACACGCACTGCAGGACGTGACGCTCGTTTGTTGCGCCTCGCTTGAAAAGTTCTAGGATCGTAAGACTACTATTATGCAACGGCACAGGTACCGCGGGACACGTACGGCAACACTGACTTGTTGTCGACACCCGTGGCCGCCACCAACCACGAGCATCAACATAGCATGTTCAGCAGCAGCACGACTTATAGATTCATTGCAACTTGTACTCGAGGCCCCTTCTCAACCCCCAAGCCAGGCCCTCGTCACCATTTCGTCCCTTTTTTTTTCCCCCTCACCGCGAACCTTCCACCGTCGCCAACGCTAGGATAACGCAGAGGCAGCCGTGCGGCACATGCTCGTGGACTTCTCGCTGCAGATGGGTCTTGGCGAGGTGAGAGGGGGTTAGATAGGCGACCACGCAACGGCAGATAACACCGCCAAGGACACGTTGCACGAGCTGTGGACACACCAACAGTACTCGCCGTGGCACTACTGGCCTTGTAGTGCGTGGCATCCTCTGTTTGCCAAGGGCTCCCGAGCTCGACACCCATGGGGTCGACGACGACGATACACGGATATGTTATCAACGTGGATGGGGTGGTGGATAATGTGGTCGTATTTTACTGTCTGGAACAGCAGTCTTGAGGGTTGCTCGTTCGGGGGCTTCATGCCTCAATGCAGATGGCAACGCGAAGCCAGTCTTCATTCCATGACACCCTTGTAGCACGCCGCTGCAGTCAACATCTCTCTCTGCCAGCAGTTAGACAGCACACGAATAACAACCTGTTCCATGTTGACTGACTGTGACTGATCAAACGCTATCCGACGTTTCGAACACGAGTGACATAATTGTCCAACCGCACGCGACAGGTGGGCACGGTGAATGCCGAGGACTTCATGGACGACGGCACGCCCATACGCCTCGCTGTCACGGTCGATCGCACCATGCGCTCCGCTCTCTTCGACTTCGAGGGAACGGTGAGAAAAGACTTAGCTACGCAAGCAACACCACCAGCTTCGAGGGGGGGGGGGGGAATTAAGTTTTGCTTTGCAGTGTTGGCTGGTGTTGGTTTAGTCCGTCACTGATCGTTTCCTTCTCGCGTTGAACCTCCGTTATGTTATGCTTTATTTTCCTCCTCGCGTTTGCCATTAGGCGCTTCTCAGACAATTCCTGCGCATCTTTCCCTTCTCTGTCTCTGTCTCTGTCTCTGTCTCTGTCTCTGTCTCTGTCTCTGTCTCTGTCTGTCTGTCTGTCTGTCTCTCTCTCTCCCTCTCTCTCTCCCCCCCCCCCCCCTTCACCCCGTGGCTGCTGCTGCCGGTCCTTCTCTCTTTTCGCGTCGCGTCTCGGCCCCCTGAACAGGGCGCGGAGGTCCTCGGCAACCTCAACGCCCCGCCCGCCGTGACGGCGTCTGCCGTGATCTACGCCCTCCGCTGCCTGCTCCCCGGGGACGCCGCCGACGTCCCCCTCAACCAGATTAGCGACAGGGCACGCAAGGAAGACGACAGCAAAACAC